CAAGGTTGCTACCCCCACAACCTAGCAACCTTATTGTCATGATGGGTTCTCTAAGAGTAAAGCCCAAGATGCAGAACACACACAGAGGCACTGGTAAAAAGTCCAAAGAGTTTATTAAAGGCACAAGCACAATGATAATAGAGTGGAAAACAGTTCAGGCAGTGGACAGGTTCACTGGGGTCTGTGCGGGAAAACGGGAGATGTTGGTTTCTGAGTTCATGAGGGGCTAAGCCTCTAGCTGTTAGCTTAGCAAAGCTGAGCTTCCAGCTCAGCTCAGAGAACAACAGGGAAGAAACGGGAAATCCACATGGGCACCTCTAGGGAAACTCCACATAGGGGTCGTCAGGTTTCAACCACGTAGGAATCTTTGGGTTGGCTCACCAGGGCAGCTTAGCAGGTTAGGTTTTCCAAGAGCTTCAGGCTTGAGACTGGTTTCCTGTGATGCAGCTCTCCCAGAGCTGCAGACCAGAGACAGGTTGCCAGGGAGACAGCTCTACCAGAGCTTCACGAAGGGACAGGAGGTTAAGCTCATCCAGAGCTTCACGAGGAGACAGGTGGTTAAGCTCATCCAGAGCTTTCACGAAGAGACAGGATTCCAACTAAGATCAACACTGCGGCGTGGAATCAAGGACAGGCAGGAGCTTATAAAGGAGAGGTCTTCTGATAAGAGGATTAGGAACAGGTGTGCAGGAAGGTTCCAGCTCCAGAAGACCCACAGCGCATCCTGCTGGAGACAGAGGGTAAACTCCAGATCCCCACAGTAACTCCAACCCTAAGGGAAAAACAAAGAGAGCAGAAAAGGATCCTCGGCGCCCTCTGGTGGGCAAGCCTTAGGATCCCAACACTTATTGAGTAGAAGAAGAGATATAAGACAGATATAAGACAATATATCTCAGTTATTTGAGTATACCCACACTCAAACAATCAGGTGTTTATGGTATTCAGTGAAAAGTTGACAGCAGGGGAATAAGTAGATCGGTGGAAGATTGTTGTACACAATGTTTGTTGGGAATAGGGTAACTAAAGGTATTTGATTGATGGCCTGTTTTTTATCCTGACCAATATATGAGACAGACTGGCATTGCTGCCACTGGAAAAATCTGCAGCAACCTTTGGGCCTGGTCTAAAGTTCTATTTCTTAAAGCAAACTAGGCCAACTGAAGATGTGAATGTTGTCACTTTAACCGATCTCTAAACTGATCCTTAATACCACCAGTATGAATACTTTAATTTGAAATTAAGCCAGTATTCAGGCTTCCGACAGCGATACATTTGATATATTTTGCAGGGAAGGTTTATTGAATCTGTGCTACCAGTGGCTCAAAAGGTTAATAATACTGATCACAAGAAATTCCCTCAAACCTTAGTCTGTGGTAAATGATTGCGGATAATTTTAGAACAAATTAACTTTCCTCATACATCTTGGTATAAAATCAGGCCTGAAAACTAAGCAGGCAAATTATCTGAATTGATAACTTACATCAATGCAGTTTGATGGGCAAACTGATTGGAATGCATTTGATAAAACAATATTCAGGCTTGACTTGGACTTACCCCTCATATGCTTGAGTTTAACTCTAAAAGATATGATTCTTAACATATATAATAGGAGCTGAAAACTTAAGTTTCTACATGTCCCTGTCCCTTAAACACTTGAGGGAGACATGATCTAGACTCAGAATGAAAGGCTTGAGACTTTCTAAAGTCTCAAGCCTTTAGAAAGCCTCCTGCTAGGAGGGAAAGACTTTAGTCAACTGCCTCCCTCCGAAATACACGAACGTTGACATGATTTAATTCAAGTGACCTAAGATTTGACCTTTGGAATAAAAGAGTTTGGACTTGACTTGGATTTACCCTTTAAACCATGGGTCTTCAAGGTTTTCCAGGCCAAGGACTCCCCAAATTGATGGCAAGATGGAGCGGGGACCCCCTAATTATACATATAGGGCCGGATTTATCAAGATCCAATTTTGCGTGCAGTAATTTGCACTCGCAAACTGGAATTTTGCGCGAGGGGCTGAACCATGGTTTGCGGGTGATTTAACAAGAGTGATTGCGTAACGGGTGGCAGGTGCAAAACTGTTGGAGACGCCCTATTTAAATGATGGTTTTGCGTGTTTTGTGGTTTGCTGCAAAGTAGTTTGTACAAACTAGTGCATTAAGAAATTTAAATCTTACAGTGAAAAAAAAAAAAATATATATATATATAGAAAAAACTTTGGCAACCTTTATTCCCTAAGGTGGTATGTGGCTGAATACACTATATTGCCAAAAGTATTTGCTCACCTGCCTTGACTCACATATGAGCTTAAGTGACATCCCGTTCCTAATCCATAGGGTTCAATATGACGTCGGTCCACCCTTTGCAGCTAGAACAGCTTCAACTCTTCTGGGAAGGCTGTCCACAAGGTTTAGGAGTGTGTTTATGGGAATTTTTGACCATTCTTCCAGAAGCGCATTTGTGAGGTCGCACACTGATGTTGGACGAGAAGGCCTGGCTCTCAGTCTCCGCTCTAATTCATCCCAAAGGTGTTCTATCGGGTTGAGGTCAGGACTCTGTGCAGGCCAGTCAAGTTCATCCACACCAGACTCTGTCATCCATGTCTTTATGGACCTTGCTTTGTGCACTGGTGCACAGTCATGTTGGAAGAGGAAGGGGCCAGCTCCAAACTGTTCCCACAAAGTTGGGAGCATGGAATTGTCCAAAATGTCTTGGTATGCTGAAGCATTCAGAGTTCCTTTCACTGGAACTAAGGGGCCAAGCCCAGCTCCTGAAAAACAACCCCACACCATAATCCCCCCTCCACCAAACTTTACACTTGGCACAATGCAGTCAGACAAGTACCGTTCTCCTGGCAACCGCCAAACCCAGACCCGTCCATCAGATTGCCAGATGGAGAAGCGCGATTCGTCACTCCAGAGAACGCGTCTCCACTGCTCTAGAGTCCAGTGGCGGCGTGCTTTACACCACCGCATCCGACGCTTTGCATTGCACTTGGTGATGTATGGCTTGGATGCAGCTGCTCGACCATGGAAACCCATTCCATGAAGCTCTCTGCGCACTGTTCTTGAGCTAATCTGAAGGCCACATGAAGTTTGGAGGTCTGTAGTGATTGACTCTGCAGAAAGTTGGCGACCTCTTCGCACTATGCGCGTCAGCATCCGCTGACCCCGCTCCGTCAGTTTACGTGGCCTACCACTTCGTGGCTGAGTTGCTGTCGTTCCCAAACACTTCCATTTTCTTATAATACAGCTGACAGTTGACTGTGGAATATTTAGGAGCGAGGAAATTTCACGACTGGATTTGTTGCACAGGTGGCATCCTATCACAGTTCCACGCTGGAATTCACTGAGCTCCTGAGAGCGACCCATTCTTTCACAAATGTTTGTAAAAACAGTCTGCATGCCTAGGTGCTTGAATTTATACACCTGTGGCCATGGAAGTGATTGGAACACCTGATTCCAATAATTTGGATGGGTGAGCAAATACTTTTGGCAATATAGTGTATGTGTGCTGCGCGTACGCATACCCGCAGCATTTGGCACGTTGCTCCACAGGCGCAGGGGGAGAACCCCGACCCCGTCGGACAGCACTTCGGACAGCACTTCTGAAAAAACAAGATTGGGAGATCCCAGCTCTCGCTGCAACCGTACGCTGGAATGACCCAGATGCAAAAAAGTGCCATGTTGCAAGGAGTTTTGTGATATCTGGTATTGCGTGGGTCCTCCTTGTGGCTGGCTCCAAATCCATTCTGAGTTCCCCCAACAGCTCCAAAATGGCAATGCAGGATAAACGATATGTTTTAAAGATCGTTTCCTCCTTCATTGCAAAAATATTCACACGGAGTGAAAAAATGCGTTCTCTGCGTCTCCCTGCTTCATTTCCATGTCTCCTTCTTGCGACTATAACCGCTGCCATGTGTGCGCAATTACGCATACAGACCATTTGCACCTTCTTTTGAAACATGTTAAATATAGGGTCAGATACCGTTAGCAAAATTGCTTTCAGGTTTAATAAATCACTTTGCGAGTGCTAAATTAATATATTTACATGTTCTCCTCCCACAAGACGCACTTTTGTGTATAAACGCCCCATATTGCATATTCATTGCAGAAAAAGTACTAAATGGATAAGAGGCGCTATTTAGCACGTTTTAAAGACCAAATCCTTTTAGCACGCTGTTGATAGATCAGTTTGTACATTTTTTAGCGTGCGCAGTGAAATAGCTCTCGTTTTTATACACGCAAACCTTTGATAGATCCGGCCCATAGTATGAAGTAGTATAAGTATGAAGTATGAAACGGTGCCCAGCTTGAAAAAGCTCCCGTGTATCGCTGAATGACTGAAAGACATCTTCTGCTTCCATTTATCCATTTACTGCAGTGTGTTGAATTCATGTTAAAGTGTATTTAAAGACATTTCAATTAGTGGAAAAAATTGCAGGGGGGAATATAAAAAAAAAAAGTTATCAACCAAAACTTTCGCAACCCCCATGCAGTACCTCTGTGGACCCCCTAGGGGTCGCGGACCCCCTGTTGAAGACCTACGCTTTAAACAATGATACATTGACAAACCAAAAACAGCTTTTTTTAAATAGGGCTGAATGATTTTGCCCAAAAACGAAAAATAGGATTATACCATTATTTCAGATTGATTACATTTTCAGGACTTTATCTTAACCTTTGTGTGGAAAAGTGCTATCTTCTATTTGCAGGCATGAATCTGCGAGTTAGGTGCATCTCTCTCTTCTCATCTGTGTGGTTGCAAAACCACTTTAAGCATATTACTGGCACCTAAAGGGCTTGAATAAGAAATCTAGCTACTTACTCTTGTTAAATGTAATATAACCAAAATTGAGAGCCTCTGAGATGTGAAAATTGCATTTTGTTGAATTGCCATTATATTGCAAATGCAATTAATTGCCCAGCCCTACTCGTGAAAATATCCGTCTGTACTCTTGATCTTGTAAAGAACCTTTGTGGTTGTGTTTAATCCACAGCTTCTGGGACAAATGAGAATGAAGAGAGGGTGTTCCGTGAGAGAATTGGTCCTCGTCGGCGGCAAGGAGCCGTTCGAAGACGTGTCCACCAAGTCAACGGACATAAGTTCATGGCCACCTACCTGAGACAGCCGACCTACTGCTCACATTGCAGAGATTTTATATGGTAGGTGACACATAAACAAATCTTTTTCCATCTAATTTGCATTAAACCCATGCTGGGTTTAATTAGAGCAGCCTGGCTGATGATGCTGAAGTCTCTTTTTTTGTCTGATCTGATAGGGGTGTGCTGGGGAAGCAGGGATATCAGTGTCAGGGTGAGTACCCTGTCCGAATTTCTCATATAGCATTGCACTTCATTTATTATTGAAGTCGGAGAACATGGGAGAGGATTACAAGTTGCTGAGTGACAGATGTGATTTGTTCTGAAGCCAACATGCAGAGCCATTCGTTAACAGTATTACACCATTCATGACAATAGTTAGTACTTTAAAAGATGCAGTGCAGGACTCTTTGCAAGAATGTATGCAAACTAAACTGACTATTTCAGTGCACACAAAGAAAGTTGAGTATCTGGTACAACCAGAACATTTGATAATTAGTTAGTGAACATTTTAACTGGTAAAAAGTTAAACCAGAGTCACCAAATCCCCCTAGAAATATGTGGGAATTAGAAACCCCATCACGGAAGTAATTTGGCATTCGATGAGGTCTAAATGCCCTAATCAGTAATTCAATCCGGGCTTCCTGGATTGCAGATCTACTCACTGATAACTCAAATGGCTGCAACTCTTCTGAAACGGCTTAATATCTTTCAATTGAAGTACTTTTTTTCCAAGTTTAACAAGTAAAGTGTAGTAAAAGTATTTGCTGGGAGGATCAGTACTCACAACTGCTCTTTTCCGTATATTTATTGGAAAGAAACACTGCAAATCATTTTCTTTGTCATTTTGCCTTTAACTATTTTTGTCTTTTTTAAATTACAGATGACGCTAAATAAGACATTATTATAGCAGACAAAACACACTTTGTATACAGATGTATGACAATAGTTATAATACTAATAATAACAATAATAATAACATACAGCTTCTAATAAGTGTTTACTTTTGTGAATCTTAAAACGTATAAGTATGAATACACAATTATCTTCCTAGGTTGTTGGCTTAACAGACAGAGGGCCTTTGTCCATCATCCTATCATGACTATTGTTCTTTTTGCAACTGGAAACGTGCAAACTCCCAAAGTTCTGTCAACCAGGTGTTTGACCATGAGAAGATTTTACTTATGATAGCCTCTTGTTGGATTTAAACTCATCCCCATTTTCTAATGAAGCAGTAGCAGCCTAAATTGAATTAAAGCAACACAGTAGTGACTGTGATGCATTGGATGCTTTCAGTGTGTACCTGCGTCGTCCACAAGCGCTGCCATGAGCTCATCATCACCAAGTGCGCTGGGATGAAGAAGCAGGACGACACAGCTGAGGAGGTGAACACCTACACACAGACACACATGATTGTTTCCTTCCTCACTATGTGAAGTTTAGTCACTCTAATTTTTTACTGTTTTTGGTCTGTTTAGCACACAAAAATGATTAGAAGTGCCAAATTTGATTAAGTTCAAGAAAACAAGTACATGTGGTAACAATGCTGATCATGAAGACGATATCAATTCCTTCCAGCGCACATTTTCTGGACTCTAAGCTACACTATATTGCCAAAAGTATTTGCTCACCCATCCAAATTATTGGAATCAGGTGTTCCAATCACTTCCATGGCCACAGGTGTATAAATTCAAGCACCTAGGCATGCAGACTGTTTTTACAAACATTTGTGAAAGAATGGGTCGCTCTCAGGAGCTCAGTGAATTCCAGCGTGGAACTGTGATAGGATGCCACCTGTGCAACAAATCCAGTCGTGAAATTTCCTCGCTCCTAAATATTCCACAGTCAACTGTCAGCTGTATTATAAGAAAATGGAAGTGTTTGGGAACGACAGCAACTCAGCCACGAAGTGGTAGGCCACGTAAACTGACGGAGCGGGGTCAGCGGATGCTGACGCGCATAGTGCGAAGAGGTCGCCAACTTTCTGCAGAGTCAATCACTACAGACCTCCAAACTTCATGTGGCCTTCAGATTAGCTCAAGAACAGTGCGCAGAGAGCTTCATGGAATGGGTTTCCATGGTCGAGCAGCTGCATCCAAGCCATACATCACCAAGTGCAATGCAAAGCGTCGGATGCGGTGGTGTAAAGCACGCCGCCACTGGACTCTAGAGCAGTGGAGACGCGTTCTCTGGAGTGACGAATCGCGCTTCTCCATCTGGCAATCTGATGGACGGGTCTGGGTTTGGCGGTTGCCAGGAGAACGGTACTTGTCTGACTGCATTGTGCCAAGTGTAAAGTTTGGTGGAGGGGGGATTATGGTGTGAGGTTGTTTTTCAGGAGCTGGGCTTGGCCCCTTAGTTCCAGTGAAAGGAACTCTGAATGCTTCAGCATACCAAGACATTTTGGACAATTCCATGCTCCCAACTTTGTGGAAACAGTTTGGAGCTGGCCCCTTCCTCTTCCAACATGACTGTGCACCAGTGCACAAAGCAAGGTCCATAAAGACATGGATGACAGAGTCTGGTGTGGATGAACTTGACTGGCCTGCACAGAGTCCTGACCTCAACCCGATAGAACACCTTTGGGATGAATTAGAGCGGAGACTGAGAGCCAGGCCTTCTCGTCCAACATCAGTGTGCGACCTCACAAATGCGCTTCTGGAAGAATGGTCAAAAATTCCCATAAACACACTCCTAAACCTTGTGGACAGCCTTCCCAGAAGAGTTGAAGCTGTTCTAGCTGCAAAGGGTGGACCGACGTCATATTGAACCCTATGGATTAGGAACGGGATGTCACTTAAGCTCATATGTGAGTCAAGGCAGGTGAGCAAATACTTTTGGCAATATAGTGTATGTCCTTACCACTCTGTATGAGCATCTTGACCTGAAGGGAGATATCTAACAAAAGTTCCATCCAAGAATCCCTTTGCAGTTGCAGTGTTGCATAAATTGTCACTGCATTAATAAATACATGTTAAATGTATTGTTGGACTGTAACTTCTGTAGTATTTACTAGAATTATTTAACTCCTGGCAGAGCTGGTGTAATTGAGTCCGGTGTGTATGCCAACCTGTTCTTAAACATTTTCTATTGCACTGATATCAGGTCTTTGTGTTGGTTACTTAAAGCTACAGTGTGTAATAATTACAGGGATATACAGTCAGAAATGTAATATATTATACATAACTATGTTATTTATTATCATCTACGAGCTCAGCCTCTTAACCTTAATATTTGCGTTGGCTTAGAATTCGTTAATTATAATTACATAGGAGCGGGTCTCGCAGCCATGGAGGCAGACATCTTTGCTCTACGGCAGCGCAGAGCCAACAAACTAGCGATTGCGAGATCGCCCATTACGCTCGAAAGTAACTACGGCAAGTTGAGAGAGATGAACTGAGACGGTACTGAACAATAGATGGCAGTATTAAAATTATCTATGTAAACAAACCTCATCACTTGAGAAGGTAGGTGATGCGGACGTCGTGGAAGACATTTTGTACCGTAACGCTCGCCGTACTGTTGGGGGGGAGAAGCGGTGGGGGGGAGATGTTCATGTTGCTGCAGTCTGCAGTCTGACCGCTAGATGTCGCTAAAAATTACACACTGTAGCTTTAAAAACACTGACCCTTTTTCTCCTTAAGCCACTTTTTAACTAATTTGGTCATTTCACATTTAGATGATCATCAAGTTGTGCCGAAGCTGTAATTTTTTGACTCTTTATTTCAACTTCATGATCTTTACTCCTGTGGCTGTTTATTTCGTGAAGCGTGCAAGTCATTCCTACAGAAAAACAAACATAACACGGCGCTGAAATTCCTCTTTTTCTTTCAGCAAAGATAACGGCTAATGGCCAATTATTACATTTTACAGACAATAATACGTCTTTCATTTTATTTTCTGAGTCACACAATGATTATTCTTCCTAAAAGCCACATGAAATGTGTGTGTTTGTGTTTTATTTCAACCCTTTAAAGACACGTTTATCATATTTGATACACTTTTGAGACCTATGCATTACCAGTGTAATATTTCTGTTCTTGAAAACCATGATTTACAAAATTAGACACATCTATTGAACAGAGAACGTATAAAACATTATATAGAAATGCTTAATGTATCATTATTGATGCAAATAAACCATCTAAATAAATTGTCAGAATGTTCAAATACCATTCTTATTTAAAAAAAAATATAATTTTCTTTCAATTATTTCATGGTCCAGGCTTTAAAGAGCTAAAATGCCTCCACAGTTGCTTCTCCATTTGACTGAAATATTGTTAAACCAGGGTCTAAAATCATATATATATATATAACTTGGGCTTTCCTAAGTTGTTTAGAAAGAAAATAGTGTTATAGTATGTAACTTTTCACTTATTGTTTTTCTAGTGTTTAGAAAACAGACTGATATAATGTAACACAGGAAGAAAAGTTCATATCTTAATATACAGGACTTCCAAAAATCTGGTTCCAACTGTATTAACTGTATTAACTGATAAACAGCAGGATCATTCAAGTCTCCCTGTCTGAATAGAGCAGTAGGAAATCTGCCTTCTGGATAAACAAACCTGTGTACTCTTCCTCTGTTTAAATCTTTATGTTGGTGTTTGTGTGGGTGTGTCTCCCTCTGCAGGTGGGTTCACAGCGTTTCAGTGTTAACATGCCCCACAAGTTCAGTATCCACAACTACAAGGTGCCTACCTTCTGTGACCACTGTGGTTCTCTGCTGTGGGGCCTCATGAGGCAGGGCCTTCAGTGTAAAGGTGAGTTTGGGTTCGGCTTGGAAAAAACAGAGAGAGGACTAAATTTTTTCCCAAAAGTCAAAAATGAAAAAAAAATAGAATATAGAACAATAGTTTTGTTGTTTATTATATGATTCTTGACCGTATCTTAACCACAATATCAAGGTCAGCATTTAAGGATTTTTTCAACAGGTGTATTAAGAGTGCAGTTTTCCATTTGAGTTCAGAACTTCCTGAATTAAACTGTTTTTGTCAGAGGATAGAAAGCTGTTAAAACGATTCTGTCATTTAAGACAATTCAAACGACCTGACCCCCATTTTATGCAGAAAAGGTCTCAGAAAAAGCAAGATAAATCTAGCTTGGATCAGCTGGAGGAGCTCTGTTGTGCCATCAGAAAAGGAGTGATGTCATTTTAGCTCGTGCATTTGGACAGATGGGTTTGATTTAGTGTCCTGCTTTCTGCTGAACTGAGATAGGACCTCGTCTAGCACCTCTAAAATGTGATGGATTTTAAACTGACCAAAATACAATATTTGCTAAGAATTTATTAGCCTGGGACAATAAGTTTTTAAGTGTTATATATACTGTATGTATTAGGTCATCACTGTAAAATCTGTGAGAAAAGTCTTTTTTGCCATCTTTAATGGAAAGATGCCACCCAGATGGGCACCTGTTTTTGTCTTTCCCAGCTCTGACCTGCTTATATACCGTATTCCATCCTCAAAGCTTTCTGTCCTGATTTATTTTATGTTCTCTTGTTTTTTTTGTTTTTTCGGCAGTTTGTAAGATGAATGTGCACAGGCGCTGTGAGACTACTGTAGCTCCTAATTGTGGGGTGGACGCCAGAGGAATCGCAAAGGTGCTCTCTGACCTGGGAGTCACACCTGACAAAATCTCCAACACAGCACAGCGCAGGAGGAAGGTAACCAAACTATTACCTAAAAGCAGAGCAGATATGGGGTAACTGTCCTTAAAAAAAACAGTATAAACTTTTTAATCATATTTCTAGCTCTGCTTTTGCTTTTTGTTGCTGTTAAATGTGTCAACTCATAAGACAAAATTAAAGTCACCTTCATAGAGCAAATTTGTGGCTCATAAAGAAAGCAATCCAACTCCATCTGACCGTATGTATGAAACCGTTGGCCCCATTTTTGAATCCTAAATGAAATTTAATCAGAATTTTTCCTCACCCAGACCTAACGAATAACAAAATCCATAAACGGACAACATGATATGGAATTTTAAAAAGCAACCATCACACTCCGGCCTAGTGGTTAAGGCATAGAGCTTGGAATCCTGAGGTTCTGAGTTTGAGCCCCACTTCAACAGACTGCCACTCTGGCTCCTTGAGCAAAGACCCTTAACCCCACACTGCTCCCCAGGCGTTGCACAATGGCAGTTCACTGCTCCCCAAGTGGATGGGTTAAATGCTGTACTTGTGACAGAGTAATGACAATAAAAGCTGGGGGGAAAAAAATCTGGAAATAATCCAGAACAACGTTTAATGCCCTAGGGCACAAAATCAACCAGTCTGCATTCAAGAATAAGAGGGTGGGAGGAGCAAACATCCGTAGCATCCATGGGAGTGGTTGAAGATAAAGACTATTGCTGAACTAAAAGAACACGAGATCTTACATCTTACATTTCAAAACTGTCTTGATGATCCAGACACCTAAATATTATGTTGACTTAAAAAAAAAAAAGAGGAAAAACCTTCTGGACGTTGTGTGAAGGAACAACATGCTTACAGTCAAACATTGTAGTAATGTTATTGTCTGGAGCAGCTTTGCTTCTTCTAAACCTAAACAAATTGCTGCGACTGATGGAACCATGAATCCCGCTCTCTAATCATAAAGGAGTATAAGGAGCCATCAGTTTCTGTACACAGTTTGGTTATACAGCTAGGAAATGAAATCTTTGGTCTCCCTTTACAAAGAAACAGTTAATCACAATGATGATATTCCTGGTTTCATGAAAATACTAAAATGATCCAAAATGCACTAGGAGTTCCAGCTTTAAATCACAAAAAAAAGAAAGAAGAAGAATGTTTTGGGACGTTTTTAAACAAAGTCTAGTTTTCAGTCATATTAAGATGCTGCAGCCTGACCGCCAGATAAGATTTGAAGTATCTTTATTATCCCCTAGGGGAAGTTGTGTTACACCAGGAAGTGGGACATAAAATGTAAATATAACACACTCTGAGGTTTTGAAAGCATTAAACTGAAAGGATAGGAAGGACTTTCTGCTCTCTGAGGGAAAGTAAACAGTCCTTCCTTAGTGGATGACTTGGGTCCGCCTGAGGAGATCACCAGTTTTCCAACGAAATAGACCAGACAAGGTTCACTAAGGTGCTGATAAGAAGACCTCACAAGTTTTCCATTCATGCTTGAAAAGCTCTTTTATGGCTTCTGAGAAGGAAATGATTCCTACAGATCCTTTGCCCTGTAACATACAAGACAGATAATCGCCACTTTAAAATGACTTTTTATATTTGCTAGTTATCTTTGCTAGATACCAAAGTTTGTTAGATAATGTGAAACTTTGTTTAATAAAAAAGATTTAGGAAATCTTTGAAAAGAAAAGCATTTTTTCCATCTTACATGGGTGTAAATAAGGACCACATTTTCGACAATGTAGCTGAGATTTAAAAATATAAAAATACCATTAAGGACAGAATATCTACCATCTTCCTACATCGATTTTACTCTGACTTGGTTTAATCAAATGAGCCTAAGATAATTTACATATAAATCCCTCTGCAGGTAGAGTTGCAGACACCTCCTATTTACAGTCTCCCTCCGCCTTGAAATGGCTCCTTTATTTGTCATAACAAAAATGTTTTCAATATTTCAATAAGATTTTATGTGATGGACCAAAGCAGAGTAGTCAGGGATTTTCATATTTTGGAAGGTAAAGTACCTGGTTTTTAAAATGACCTTTTGAAATAAAGGAAAAGGTTTTTGGTTATAACATGAAAAAATGTATACATATCAGAAATAACTTTACTTTATTGTAATTATGCAAATGTAGCTGCTTCTACCTGAATTTAGAAAAAAAAGAAATCTATTGGACCGTGTCACAAGGACATGAAAAACATATTTATTCTGTTTTATGATAGCTTCCATCCAGCCCTCCTCGACATTTTTGTGTAGAGAGAAGCAGCATCCTGATCCTGTTTATGAGGGTCATCAAATCTAAAAGATATTTCATTAAAGGAGTACAGACATAATGATGTCTTTCTTCACATTGTGCCTGTGACGATTGTAAAACTAATGTCGGAAGGAATGATGATGATGTCTCTGTGTGTTTCCAGTTGACTCCAGGGCAGGACCCTCCTCAGTCTCCTCCTGAGCTCTCTCAGACGGAGGAGAACAGCTTCAGCCAGCCAGTTGTCCCCACCTCCCCCTCACAGCAGGGTAACACTCTGCACACATGAACACGCAAACCACTGATGTAGAAATAAAACAAGAAAATTATTTAAAAAAAGAAAAACAACCCATCAGACTCATAAAGCCATTTTAAGATAGGTTTCAGTATCAAAACTGTTTCAAATTAATTAAACCAGGGAAAGGTACTGGTTTAAGAAATAATTGGAGAGATGTGTTTGTGTAGATCCAAGGACTAGCTGTGAATTATCCCGCACTGCCCACCGCCATTTGGTTATCACACTTAGTCATTATCACACTTTGCAAGCTGAGAAGTGGAAAGTTAACTTTCTCTTTGTGGAGTCTTGTTTCTTATCTATCATTTTCATTTATGAGCCTTCTAACCAATCCAGTAATAATAATAGTAATATTAAGAGGATGAATGACAATAATGACTGGTATGAACCAAACTGCTGCTACTTATAATAATAATAAAAGTAATAACTATAGTTATAATGACATGACTAACTATATTCATACATGATTTTCATTTTTATAAACTTTTTTATTATTAATGGGGGACAAAAAGGAAGAAAAAAACTATTCATATGTAGATGATGTGTTTGTTTATTGGAATAAGATTCATTCAGCCCTTTTATTACAATTTTTTATTATTTGTCATTTAAATTTAATTTGTTTTTACCTGTAGAATCGAAATAATAAGTCAAATCTAAGGAAACAAAAATGTAGGGTGATGTTTACTTATGTCTGCTGTGCTTTTCTGATCACACCCACAGACTTGGCAGGCCTGGACCGCCTGCAGGACGCCCTGTCGCTCGACCAGCAGGGACCCCAAAACTCATCTTCCTCCTCCTCCACCAACTCCTCGTCCTCCTCCTCGGCAGCCAGGGAGAATGGACAGAGCCAGAGGAGGACCCTGAAGGACTTTAATTTTATCAAGGTCCTTGGCAAAGGCAGCTTTGGCAAGGTGCGACGGCGTGGAGGTGTTTGAGGGGGATGTTTGTTTGCCTACTGCACATTTTGTCTATAATAAAACAGGCTTTTTAAATGAAAAACACAGCAGCTTAATGTTTTATTCAGGTTTTCAGCCTTGTACTGTAAATCATTGCAGGTCTTACTATGGTTGCCTGTAGATTTCAGGAGTTCTCTTTGGTTCTGAGGTTTTAACAATGTGTCAGCTCTTTGTATTCACAACCTAGCCTGCAGATGTGGGGTTTGTGATCATGTGGCTTCTGTCTGCTTTTATTCAAGGCAAAAAAGTTACAGCAAAATCAGAATTTAGATTTAAAGCTTTTAGGAGACTAAACCAGTGCTGAAACCAGGCAATCCTTATTTTAGTGTGATTCAATGGCAGACGCTTTGTTAGCCTCTCACACCATTGTTAACCAGTCGTCTTTACAGCGGTGCTTTTGTTCAGTGAGGCTAACAGGCTTTTGTTTCTGCTCTGCTATCTCTATGTATAAACAAACTATAGCATTTAAATTGAGGTCGGAATTTTATGCAGGCCATTTTGTCGTAGATATGGTCAGTGATCTTACATTTGACTCTGAAATACAATCATTGTAGATTGAATGTCCGGAAAGAAAAACACAATCCCCCAAAATCATCCTTTACTTTTTGTTTTGGGAGTTAGAGCTGCTATGCCGTCTGCTTCCTTTCCAAACATGGAGCTGCCATGTTGGTGCTGCTGGTTAAGATTCTCAGTCATTCAGGTCATAGTCATTCCAAAAAAAGTTAAAAAACAATCCACTGGACTTGGTTTCCAAGTTTGAAGATGTTTCGCTTCCCATCCAGGAGGCTTTTTCAATACAAAATGTGAGAATTGGCGTTGAGTTAGAAGCTTTATAGAGTAGCCCAAAAACTTGTTTTGGCATAGAAAACATGGAAATTGAACCAGAACGTGTCCGCCCCTTAGGAATGGGGAGTTGCATTGGGTTCTTTGTTAGGCTGCAATAACCAATACCTGTCTATGTCTCTGAAAGGGGGCTCATAAGGGGCAATTGTTGGCTCGGCTGCCCAGGCGAGATCCGTTCTTCCGGATCAATTTGCATGTTTTTTAAGCCAAAGAGACAGGTATTGGGTGTCCAGATACTTCCGCCTCATCCTGCTGAAGCACATCATTCCAGACATGTTGTAATTCATTCAGAAGAGGCTTTTGAGATCTAAACTGTGGCATCTTTACTCTTTTTTTTTGCTAAAGAGAAAATCTCTCTTCTGGAAACATACCACACTTGTTTATTTCTTTGTCCATGAAACTTAAGGGTAAAGGCTCTTGTTTTATCTTTCATTTTGCTGATCCTTCTTTGGATTAGCTGGGATGTCCTCTCCTAGACGGATGTTAAACATGCCTTATATTTTTACGAGAGTAATTGGCAACAACTGAACAACTAATGCAAACCTTAAACTCAAAGTTTATTTGTTGTGTATTCATTTTACTTCAGGTTGTTTTTCTTTGTCGTATCAATTTCATTACTCTTTTTTTTATTTTTTTTTTATTAATGAAAGAACTGCATTTACGTCCTGATATTTCATGCAGCCACTCTTATCAGACACTGAGAAACATTTGACCTAAGTATTTGCTGAAATAAATTAAATGATTTCTCAGATCATCATACAGCACTTGGCTCATATTGATGCTTTCTGTGACCTAGAACAGTACTTTATGGCAGTCTGAGCTCCCCTTAGACACCAGAACCTAACAAGCTAAAAGTTGTTATCAGGCAACTAAACCGATATGAATCATACCTGATCAGACATATTTTACAGGTATCTCCACAACTTGTCAATCTGCTAGTCTAACGTAATTTGCTCACAGATTAATTTAATGTTACAAGTGGAGCTAAACCTAAAGGTTTTTGGTCTAGCGCCCCCTAATGGCTAAAAGTTACCAAGCGTTGCTTTAAATTGCATTTGTACCTCTTTTTGACCACAATGTCTTTCAAAAGTATTCAAGCCTCCTATGATTTGGCCCGTTTGTGCTCAGCCCCCTTTAATTTGACACTCTGAATGAAACCCACAGAATCCTCTTCCATTCATTTGGAAAAAAATATATATTTGGGAGCTTTGTGTTAGAAAAAAACGTTTTTAGTTTAGATTTATGTTTTACTTGAAACATTTTGTCATTTTTGGTGATTTTTATTTGTGGCAACAGCTTGGAGGTTTTTTTCCCTTCTTGTACATTATTATGATTAAAATTTTTTCCTGCTGTAACCAGGTGATGTTAGCGGAGCAGAAGGGGACAGACGAGGTTTACGCGGTCAAAGTTTTAAAGAAAGACGTAATTCTTCAAGACGACGATGTTGACTGCACCATGACGGAAAAGCGCATCCTGGCCCTCGCCCGCCGCCACCCCTACCTCACCCAGCTCTACTGCTGCTTCCAGACACGGGTAGGAGTACAACAGAAGCACAGAGCTCTGATAGCTGGTCCGCTTGTCTTTGCCTCACACCTCTCCCTCTCTGTGGCACACAGGACCGTTTGTTCTTTGTGATGGAGTATGTGAACGGAGGAGACTTGATGTTCCAGATTCAGAGATCCAGGAAGTTCGATGAGCCTCGCTCGCGTTTCTACGCTGCCGAAGTCACGTCGGCCTTAATGTTTCTGCATCGAAATGGGGTCATCTACAGGTAAAAACCTTAAAGAAAGGCTTTTTTATTAAGCCAACCGTGACTCAACCAATATATTTATAAACAGATCTTAATAGCTTACTGTAAGTCATGTTTCAAGAAGTAATCTTTGCAGACATTACCTCTACATGGTGTTGCTTAGCCTGTTCCCTGACTGATTTAAACCATTTGGGGAAGCAGATGGCACTGACCCTCCCCCCTCTATCTACATCCTGCTCTCACAGAGACCTGAAGTTGGATAACATCCTCTTGGATGCAGAGGGACACTGCAAGCTGGCAGACTTCGGTATGTGCAAGGAGGGCATCAACAACGGGGTGACCACCACCACATTCTGCGGCACACCTGACTACATTGCTCCTGAGGTGAGCTACAGTCAGCTAGAATCTCAAACTTAGGTGGTCAAACTTATGAAAACAAAGGAGTATTAAAAAAGGAAAACCCTCTTTGCTTCAGAACACGAAAGCAAATAAGTCTCCTTAGACGTGGCAACAGTTCGCCAAGGGTTCCTACCTTGTCCTGAGAACCATTGTTATAGTAATTTAATTTAATTTCCCTCTGAGATTAATACAGAATTTTTTTATTTGAATTAGACTTAGACTTGTAGACTTAGACAGACTTTATTGTCATTTTGTATACACAGAGTGTATACAAAAAGAAATTGTATTCAGTACAGCTCTCAAGTGATTTCCAGTTTTGAAGTGCAGCAGTGATAAAATGTAAAAATAAGACCGGTATATGATTTAGAGCTTTTTTAAACCCCATTTTATAAAACATTCAGCAGTCTAATGGCAGTTCGAAAGAAGCTGTTCTGGAATCTGCTGGACCTGCATCAGATGCATCGAAATCTCTTCCCAGAAGGCAGTAGGGAGAAAAATCCCTTAAACCAAAAAATAACCTTTAGAGTTTTTAACAAATTAAATTACAAAAATTAGTTACCCTTTTACTCTTAAACCCTTAAATAAATAAAAAATCATCAGATTCCTAAAACCTTCCCATCCATTTGCTGAAAATAGAAAGAGTGTGATGCATTTATTGATATAGAGACATTATGGTCTGCCTAATCTGAGGCATCAGACTTGAGACGTGGGATTTCTCTTAGTGTTTAAGTGTAGGTTGTTTCCTCTATTATCAGCTTTGCCTTCTTAAAAGGCAGTAATTGTAATTTATATTATTTTTGAAGAGGTTTCTGATCTCCTGAGTTTCTGAATAGCTTTAAATGCAAAATATTGAAAAAATCTCGAACCAAAAACTCATAAAGCGTTTCTTAAGTTATCGTTTATGTGATGATATTCAATTAGAAATTATTTCTAGCTCGAGACTTTTCAACTGGTGGGCTGGAGATCAGAGGAGCAGGTTATCCTCCAGTTATTCTCCTTGTTCGTCAACAATGTTGTTTTGTTGGTTTCAGATCCTGCAGGAACTCGAGTACGGAGCCTCTGTGGACTGGTGGGCCTTGGGGGTGCTGATGTATGAGATGATGGCCGGGCAGCCGCCATTCGAGGCTGATAATGAAGACGACTTGTTTGAGTCGATTCTCCATGATGATGTACTCTATCCTGTGTGGCTCAGCAAGGAGGCGGTGTCCATTCTTCGAGCCGTACGTTTCATCCAACTCGCATCCTTGTTGTTTGATAGATGTAGATTTCTTTCCTTCTGTCTTCCACATGTCATACTTATCTGTCGGTACCTGTTGGTTATTTTCAGTTCATGACGAAGAACCCAGCCAAGCGTCTGGGCTGCGTGGTGAGCCAAGGCTGCGAGGAGGCTATCAAGACCCACCCCTTCTTCAGGGAGATCGACTGGGTCCTCCTGGAGCAGAGAAAAGTGAAACCTCCGTTTAAACCCCGAATTGTAAGAAAGTCAACATTTACAAACAGATTAATTTGAGTTGTGAATGCATGGAGGCGGTTTAAGGCGGCAGATTTTAGCAAGATTTTTTAATTTCAAACAGGACTAGCTATAACTGCAGGTGAAGAGTGTGGGGAAACAAAAAGGCAGGAATACTCTCTGAAATACCAGAGCTAAAATAGATGTTTTTATTTTAGGATCTAAAAAAAGCCCAAAAATCAGGGTTCGGTCAAAGCTGTGACATTCCAAGTCTGAATGAATACAAAAGAACGAGAAACCTTAATTTGCTATTGAATACATAAGGAATAAAGATCACTTATTGGGGGAGAAAAAAACCCACCAGAAAACAACTAATATGACATAGCAAATGGATACTCTTTAGCAAAGGTGGGATATGTGGTGTCAACAAGTCATCTCTATGACATGTATTTGCTCTGCCCAGTCACACCAGGTGAGTCCGACCTCCACAGTTTTATTCACTGTGCATATTGGACTCACCTGGTTTATTGGCTGGGCAGGAAAAATAAATACATGACATAGAGATGACTTGATAGTTCAACATCTCCCACCCCTGCTGTCTAGTGCTTAAGTTAATATTATATCATGTATCTTCCAGTAGTATGCCTAAATCTTTAAAGATGAAATTATGTTAAAAACAAACTCTACCAGCTACTGCCACAAAAGCCCCAGAGGGGGGCAATAAATACCAGCACAAAATAACAATGGATCACCAAACAGCTGCAGGAGAACCTAAAGAATATGCAGCTTTTATCTCCAGCCAAACTTAAATGTTTACACTAACGGAGTACACATTAATTTCTCTTTAATCGCTGAAGCGAAATTTCACATAGTACTTTTTTTAAGGGCATACCTTTAATTTCAGCTTTTATAAAAATCATTTGTTTTTCTGATATTTCCCATAATCTTTTTTTACTGATATCTGATTTGTTAACACTAACTCCTCACAGCTTCCAGCCTTTATTTGCTTAAAAATGGCTACTACAGAATAAAACATCTGTTGTAGAGCAATGGCAGGATAAACCCTTCTGCCCTGTCATCACAAGCATAAATAAAGTGACTTTACCAAAGGCTGCTGAGACCTCATCCTCAATAGTGGACATGGTGGAGGATGGTGGTGCTGTGGGCCTGTTCCTTATGCAATGGTGTCTTATAGGTACTCTGTTAGAATGCATAGCAGCATTAACCCCTTGAAGTCCTGCAGGTTTCCACAGCAACCAGTCTTTACTAAGCTGTTTATACATCTACAGCAATGCTGTGTCCCCACCATCATTACTAGAACAAGTCATTAATCACAGTAAGTCACATATCTTTAGTTTCTGGAATTAAGGACCTAGGTGTTCATCTGAATAACAAACTGGACTGGACTCACAACACTGAGGCTCTGTATAGGAAAGGTCAGAGCAGACTCCTGCTGAGGAGACTGAGGTATGTTGGAGTGTAGGGGGTGCTCCTTAAGACCTTCTATGTCTCTGTTGTGGCCTCAGCCATCTTCTATGGAGCTCTCTGTTGGAGCAGTGGCTTATCTTTAGCTGAGAAAAAGCGTCTGGATAAGCTGATCAGGAAGGCCAGCTATGTGATTGGATGTCCTGTGGACTCAATGCAGGAAGTGGGAAACAAAAAGGATCCTAACTAAATTAGCATCTCTGTTGGATAATGTCTCCCACCCCATGCATGAAGCTGTTGCTGAACTGGAGAGCTCCTTCAGTAACAGACTGCTGCACCCCAAATGCACCAGTGTGCGCTATCACAGATCCTTCATCTCAGCAGCTGTAAGACTTTATAACCACCACTGTTCCCAACAACCTCAATAAGTTGTTATATTCATGCTGATTTGGCCCATGAGTTTCTATCTTTGTCAGTTAAATAACATGCTGCTGTCATTTTGTACATCTCTGGTGTAGCTGCTATTTTCAAATATCCATTACTTTAAAAATGTCCATAGCTGTATAACAGTTATTTATTCTGCACTGTATTTATATTGTTAAAAGACTTTACAGTATTTTATTTTTTATCTTTTAACGCTTCACTATTATGTTATTCCTATACATTTTTCTAAGGTTCACATTTGTGTGACAATTTTTTTCTATAATTGTTTTGCTGCTGTAAACACCAGAATTTACCCATTATGGGACAATAAAGGGATTTTCTATTGTAATGTAATAATTGGTTTAAAAGCGCAGTTAGTCTTTTTGATCAGTAGAGGGCGCCATGCTGTAATTTGCGTGATAACAGTAAAGTTTCCTACTTTGACTCTTTCACTTTGTGTGTGTGTGTGAGCAGAAAACCAAGCGAGATGTGAATAACTTCGACCAGGACTTCACCAAGGAGGACCCGGTGCTGACGCCTACAGACGAGGCCATCATCCGACAGATCAACCAGGAGGAGTTCAAGGACTTCTCCTACTGTGCCCCCGAGGAGACGCAGACCTAAAACTCACACAAACACACACCCACCCACCCTCCTATCAGATAAGGCTAACACCCGGCATGCTTACACTCAGCAGAACCAGAACACAAGCCTCTCTGCGTCAATCTTTTATTTTATTTTTTCCGTTTTAAAGCTCTTGGTTGTTGTTACTTTTGGAGCATTATTTACTTGCATTGTGTCGTTCTTGTTGCCTGGGTTTTTATTAATGAATATGACTATGAAAATAAATATGAACACGCACACCGCTCTCACACACGCATACACATTCTCACTTTGTCACTGTTTAGACAGATGGATACGCTTACACTGCTTCTCTAACCAGCACCGACTCACACACGCACAAACACACCCCCACACACAGACACACACTCGGAGCGGCGGTGTAAAGGCTTGTACATAGCCTGTGTCGAGTGGCTGTATCGTGTCGGTATCGTCTGCTAGTAAAAGGGGCGTTGTTGCGCATGGACAAGCACCCTTCCTGTGTTATTACTGTCCTTATCGTGGACCATTTAGGGCCAAACACCCTTTTGTGCAATACCATGACTATCTATGTATTTTATTGTTTGTTTAGTTTTTCTTTAAAAATGTATTTTTCTGTTGGATTATTGGGTGAAATTGCTTTGACTATCACACTTTTTTGACTATCATGTCCTCCCCTCCTTTGTACAGCGCCTTGCAAAAGATATCATACATCTTGAGCTTTATCAGTGTTTTTTTTTAGGTAAAAACAAAACAAAATTTCAATCTTAATTGTTGAGATCTTTTGTGTGATAAACCAACATAAAAACAGGTGCACAAATGGGAGGTGGAGCGTAACGAAATGCTTTTCTACCTGTTCATTTGTGCACAATTCTCCGCGCTTACAGCTGCAGGTAGATTAAGTTATGTTTGTGCACAGAGAGGCTGACGATTCTGCTCAAGGGGAATACGCCTGCTGTACATTTAGGGTTGTCTTGCTGCTGGAAGGAGAAACCTCACACCTGTGTAAAGTTTTCACACCTTTAAACGGGTTTTATTGTAGGATTACTCTTCATTTAGCTCAATCATAATGCATTCATCACCACGTTTTACTGTGGGAACAATGCGTCCAGGGTGATATGGAGTATTAGATTTGATCTGATCTGATCAGAGGAGGTTATTTTTTTGCCATGCTTCTAAATGTAAGAAACCCCACAGCATGATGCTGCCCTCACCATGTTTTAGGGACATTTCGGTCATATTCAGTCAGTCTGAATTATTTGTGTCTAATGAATACAGTGAAAACAGATATGTGTTGAAAACATTTGGCTGTTCTACATTTTATTGAGGGTAACTAGATTAAAGGGGTTGAATCATACAAATGTAAGCTACACTTTTCAGATTTCGTAATTTCGTTCTGCTTAGCAGTGATTCTGCTTTGTGTTGCTCCATCACACAGAGACAGGATGCAGGAACATGGAAGGTGGCATTGCCTGCTTTTCCAAGGCGCTGTATGTACAGTGAATGTTACAGGCTATTGAACTAATTATGTGGAGCAGAGTGTTACAGTTGGCCTGTGTAGCAGTGAAAAGACTCTGGCGTCCAGCTTTTTCACCCGTCTGTTTAGTTTCAGAGTCCTGCCAGCCGGTGTGAATGTGTTGGCTCATTTCTCTCTCTCTCTCTTTTTTTTTTTATCCAAGTATTGTGAATGTACATCTTTTGTGCGCATGAATGCGTGAACTTTTAATATCCTCCAAGTCGTTATTGTTTGCTGCATTTCTGTATCTATAGCAACCAATGTTTCGCCAATCTTCCTCTTTTCCTTGCTCCTCTGTCCCTCTCAGCCAAAAAAAAAACTGCTCTCACTCTTGCTTTATTTTTGTCATAATAGCTTTTCTTTCTTATTGCTCTCTTTTTTATTGTTATATTAATTATTATTATTATTGTAAAGTGTATCTGGAGGATAAAAACCTTTATGTGTACTACTATAACTATAACAATATAGGTCTGTTACAGCCGGTTTTTAGGAAACTTGGTGAACCAGCGGCTGATATACCTCTCACTTCAAACACACGGCTCTCACCTACTCTCCTCTTTGCTCCCTCTTCCTGCCCCCCTTCGCTGTCTCTCTCTTTCTCTGAACCACACTTGCACACACAAAGAGGGACGGTTTGTCGCGTTTCTTGTACAGTGAGCTAAAGACGGGCCGGTTTGCTTATCTGTGCAGTAGAGTCAGTGTGTAGTGACGCTTCGTGCACCCAGGGGTACGGCTGTTCCTGGTCACTCTTTATATTTTACTCTGTGCCAAAAATGTAGTGCAACAGCCGGGCTAGTCCCCCGTCTGGTCTGATTCCAATAAACACTGAGCTGTCTACATCCATCCCAGAGGTCTCTGTCTCTTTTCTTCTTTTGTTTTGTTTATTGTTATTTAGTTTTATTGAGATAAATCTGTGTGATGCTGAAAAAGTTTGTTGAATACCGAAAAGGGCGGAGCGGAATGAGGTGATGCTTTTCCTGGCGAGAGCTGACCTATCACATCTCTCAGTGTTTGGAGGCCTGCGTGATTATTTGCAGGCAGGAGGGGAGAGGTTCCACCTACTGGTCCGTCCAATTCGTCTGTGCTGCTGGGAAACCTCTGCCGGCATCATTATCAATAACCTCCCAGCATGCCACCAGTTGGAGAGCAGAGGACGTAATGACAGCCGACAAGGAGAAGAGAAGGTACATTTTTCGCTTTTTTCCCTCAGATTATGATGAATTTGGCACACACAGATTGTAATAAAAAAAATAATATTCAGTAAAGGGCACAAAAAAGAAGTAAAATCTGAAGTAAATCAAAACAAGAAGGCAAAAATACGAAACTAGCCTGAAATTGAATAAATGAGAAGTGTTGTTCACTTCTTCAGGTGTTAAGAAATCCTCTTGTTAGTGTTTTTCAGATAAGGTCAAAAAGTCACAGTGTCATAAAAATTTCTTTTATCTTTTAATGAGGCAATTCTGGGGGTTTTGTTTAGCATTCTGGTTTAACTCTGTATTTAACTCAGATAAAGAATTAGTGCCTATAATTAAGAGTCTTTACTATTCAGGCTGATATCATAGGGAACCTGATGTTTGCTTCGCTTTTCCGAAGACATTTTGACACCTATCCAGGAGTCTTTATCAAATCTATCAAACTAGAACCAAAATGCTATCAAACTAGAACCAATAAAACATTATTAGATGACATTAGTTCAATCCTTTGAAATATAGTTCATTGAAATGGTTAGATCTGTCTTTAAGCTTTTGTTTTTAACCTTGAATAAAGTGGTTTTTTTGGCTTTTCCTGAATATCATCTTTACACAAATATTTTGAGGTCTTTCAAACTGTAATTAATCACTTCATTGTTATTTATTTATTTATGGAATTTTAATGAATTGCTATTTTTGATGCTCATTATATTTCTTTATTAAAATCTATCCAGTTGTTGTTTTTGTTCTATTTGTTTTTTTCATCTGTTTGAATTTTCTATTCTCCTTAACCTACAGTAGTTCCCCCCCTACCATAATATTATCAGTTGTGATATTCTTTAGTTATATGTAATATTAAGTAATGAAAGGATAAAGCTGAAGTAGATCTTTAGGGTTTTTGGATGTTGGTCGCCTTTTGCAGAGCGATTAGCCGCGAGGCAGCCCGACGTAGGCGGCGAGTGGAATCCGACGTGTTTGGGGATCTATCCCGCCTCCTACCCCTTCAGCCTTCCATCAGAGCCCACTTGGACAAACCTTCCGTCATCCGCCTCACCCTGAGCTACATTCGTATGCAGGCGCTTCTCAAAGGTGAACAGAGTTGTTCTCCTTTTTTTCACCTTAACCAGCATCACAGCATCTTTTCAACAACATTTAATTGTATGAAAACTTTTAGTCAGCAGAAATTAAAATGCAACAAGAAGTTTTTATGCATAGCTGATTTTTTTTGACTTAATAGAAATAGAATGATAATATACATAGATTCCTGTCTAATATATATCATAAATATGAAAAGGAATAAAGGAAATCTCTTAGGTGTCAGACAGAGGAAGTATTATATCAGACCTAGAATAAAACTACATGAACCTCAACCTCACAAAAACACACCACATCCTTTGTTTTACTGTTTGCATTGTTCACACAAGCACAACTCTGCAAAAACTCAAGCAAGATTATTTCGATTATGTGGTAGAAACAGAAGCTGCAGGATCCGGAGTACAGCTCGGAAACATCTTGAAATTCCACCATGGATTGGAAGCAGGAGAGGGATTTTGGTTTGAGTTTGAGAAACAGAAGCAGGAATTCACTCCTTTGGATGAAACCAACATGTACCTGAAGATCCTGGAGGGATTCCTGATGGTCCTGTCCACCGCAGGGGATATGATCTTCTTATCGGACAACGTCAGCAAATACATGGGCTTGAGTCAGGTGGGTCTGCAGACGAGATGCTATGCAGCTTTTTAATGACTGTTTGATTTTGAAGGCTTGATTCTTGTTTGATGGCAGACTGAGCTGATGGGGCACAACATCTTTGAGTACACTCACCCATGTGATCATGAGGAGATCAGACATAATCTACGTCAGACTGCAGGTCGGTGTTTTTACTGATCTCTTCCTGACAATTAAGTTAATTAAGAAAGTTATCAAAAGTTTAGTAGCTGATTTTAAAAACAAATTATGGTGAATAGTTGTGGCTTGCATTAAATAAAACACAAAAATTCTCAAAAAGTTACAAGATAATTCCTTAAATTTTACTCATAGGGAGAAATTTTAATTTTACAGCAGGAAACATTTAACAAACTGACTGATATAGTAATTGCTTAGATAATCTATTGTCACAGGCTAATGAAGAGCATCATTATGGAAAATAAAACAATAAAGATGAATTTTAGCACAAAAACTGTATGTTAAGATGTGCACAGTAATGATAAAGACAGGCGATCTGACAGCTGACAGTCATTGGCTTCCTCCATAAAGAAAATGGCTGTTTACAGAGTGCTGTATCCAAGAAAATTAAGTGGAAGACAAAAAGTGCAGTAGAAAAAAAAGATAAATAAACCAATAATTGCAGCCATAACAGCTGGTGGATTCAAAGTTGGTCTTTGTTGGTCTCAAATTATTTTAACCTTTCTAAAAAGCTTATTTTTCTGGATTGTCGTTGGCTGTAAACTGTCATCCTCAAAAATACCAGAAATAAGTGCTTAAAATATTTCCCTCTATCTGGAATATATCACTTTAATTTACAGTAGATGAAACTAACTTATTTGAACCTTTGTGTCTCTAAAGAACTTGGGTTCAGTCTGAAGAGGGACTTCGTCATGAGGATAAAAAGCGCTTTGACGCACAGAGGAAGAATCGGCAACCTCAAGTCAACCACCTGGAAGGTAAGAGCGGAACTGTAAACCCTTATAACCCGGATGCTGGTTTCTTACGCTGTTTTATTTTGGCTCTCAGGTGCTCCACTGTCAGGGCAGAGTGAAGCTGAGTGTGTCCTCCTCTTCGGTGTCCTGCCTGCTGCTGACTTGCAGACCTCTGCCACTGTCGCACACACTCCTCAGCACGCACACCTTCACCAGCCAGCACAGTATGGACATGAGGTTCACCTACTGCGACCAAAGGTGCTTCAGCTCAGCCTCTTTACCACATTTTGTAGTATTTTAATTGTCTTTTTTCCTATTCTTTTGTACTTCAGATTAGGGCTGCAGCTAACCATGTTTAACTAACCATAGTTTTTTTGATTAATCAATTAATATTCAAATGGTAAAAGGTTAATTGAGATATATTTTACACATAAATTAAACCAAGTGAAACTAAAACTTTGCGGTGTGAGGACTCCTTCATAGAGAATATAATGGACAAAATGTTTTTTTTTATTGATTTAATCAAATCCAGTGTTGGTATAATAAGTGCTTTGAGTGGGTCGCTCTGTCAGCTAAAGCCATGTTTTAGAGTCTCTTTACTGAAGTTAACGATTAATTGATTTAGGACTGAAACAATTAATCGGATCAATCATGATTTATCGATTATTAAAATAATTTCCAACTAATTTAGTAGTTGATTAATCGTTAACAGGACTGTAGAGACTCTAACACGTGTCTTTAGCAGACAATGAGTTAGGAAGCACATTACAGTATGTAAATATGTGTCTGTTATTTCTGTTTTTCAACCCTAAGTCCACTGCTTTTACACCTGGGTTATTCAACGTCAACAGCTTTTGCATTTTATATAAAACCCCCCATAATGATTAGAATCTATATTTTGTAGCTTTTTGTTCTTTTTAACTTCACGTTCAAGAGAAGCACTTTGCATCAGACCTTTACACCCCACAGAGATGCTGATATGGTCATTAGATAACTTCTGTCCAAAAAGGCTGTTTGCTGTCTTGCATCATGAGCATTGTAGCAATTTCATAATTTAACATCTGAGTTTGTCGGCCAGAACTACAACAATCGAATGAAGCAATAGTTGAATACATTCGCATGCAAATCCAAAGATGAAATCCTGTTTTAACTTTCTTTTTTTTTTCCATTTACAGGTAAATCGTAAAGATAAATATCCCAAAAATAAATTATCAGACAAAATGGGTGGTTTATTTGAAGAAAAAAAGAACAGAAACCAATACTTTGGCACTGCAGTTATTTTTCAAGATCAGCATTACTGTCTTGATGACGATGAGTACGATTTTTGGCAATAGGCGGCGGCGTTAATTGTGGAATTTTGATAGACATTTTTATAAACTTGAATGGTTTTCAATACATTGTCACTTGTTTTCCCCCAGAATAAACATACACTAGACAGTTGTTCTTTTATTCCCAAAAATCCAATAAAAAGATGATTGAAATGATCTAGAAGTTAGTGAAAGGTTTTTTAAAAAAAACCATCTGTAACAACACAGATATGACACAGGATTAACACAGCATTTTAAAGTCAATATAGACCAGCCTCTGTGCAACGTCAAATCCAGCTCCTTTCGAGGTGTCTCACCTCATCCAATAATTGATCTCTTTGTTTATTGGTAAATACATTAGATCCCCTCTTCTCTGTAAAACAATGTCTTCTGTTATGACAGACTGTGTGATAATGTGACTCTCCTAAATATTATAGAGATTTTATGCCACTGAGATTAAGCTGTGATTAAATTTACCGTCTCCACTTATTTGTTTTTTGTGGTTCTGAGTCAGACTCGCCTCTTGGTGGCATCCTCTGGTTTTCACAGTGGTTGAGATAAGTAAACTGCCCCAAAGCTGAAGTAGAGGTTTAAAGGAGGAGGCAACACTGCATTGTGTCTGTCTCTGTGGTTAGTCTTTTTTTTTCATGCTATGCTCCAGCTATATCTGTATTTCCACTTCTTTTTCAGCTGTATTCTTAATTTACAGCTGAAATTGCTTACTCATTTAACATTTTACTTCTGAAATGCTTTTTGTTATTCTATTTTCTCTACGACTGTCTTGAATAGGAGTTGAGGTCGTGAGCTCTAAAAACAGCCATACAAAAGCTGCATGGACATGACTGTCTACAAACTTATTATAGCTGTTTTTTAAAGAAACAAGACACTGTATCATACTGGTCTCCATATCTGTTTTAACAATTTCTAAGCTAAATTAGATTATATGTTTTATTAATATTTACAGCTTTCAAAATGCCAGTTTATGCAATACTGAGTTTATTTATAATCTGTTTTATCAGAAGTGAAATTTTAATGCTTTGAATATTAGGCTTGGTATCAAAAATCTTTCTAAAGCATTGAGGTTTAATCAACAAGGCAGGGATTTAGGTAAAACCATCCCCAGAGAGCCAAAAGGTAAATAACATCTGAAACGTAACATATTCCTTTTACAGAAATGATGCTTTACCTTAGATTAATTCATCAATCTAAATTTAAGTGTTATCTTTATTTTGTTTATTCTGTCAAAAGAGCAAAACTCATATGATGTAGATTCAACAAATACAATATATATTTCAAGTCTTTATTTCTTTTTACTTGGATGTTTTTTTCTTTAGAGCAAATTAAAATCCCCCAATGAATTGGCCTAGGGTCAGTTTCAACAAGGTTTTCTGAAAATTCTCAAGTTTTATAAACCTGAAAAAAAAAAAAAAGGAAATTCTTAGTTTTCCGTTTCACAAAGAGAGTTTCTTCAGCCTCTGTTTCAGTGACTGTAGTAACATTCTCCCCAGGACTAACCTGGTCAAGAGCAGGTTTTCAGACTCACAGTGTCCTGTGTCTCTGCTCTCTTTACAGCCAATCATGTTGTTTTATTTCATGATTAAGTCAGGAGGTTGTTGTAGTTTTGTGCATACTTAAAAAAAATCATTCACTAGATCCATTAGACACATTAGGTTTAGCATTCAAGAAATAAACCGTAATGTTACCGTGGTTACAACATGCTATGGCATTAAAATATGTTTTTCCTATTGGATGAAATATGCACTTCTTGTTGCCTCTCGTCATGGTGACTCGTCAAATTGGGGCTCCACTGATAATGGCTTTTCATACTTGTTATGCACGTGTTTAACTCTGAGTGGACCTTCTTAGAGTTGATTACATTAATTCATAGCAGCCTTTGTAAAACCAAAAACTACATTCTATTAATCAATTTAGAGTTGCAGATTTGAATCTGGGTTTGTTTGACCTGCTTCTTGAAATGGATCCCTAATGAGGTGTTAACTGTGTACTTTTCATTCCTTCAGTTTTTTTTCCCCAACTTAGCTTCCCTTTCCACTTTGCTTTGATTTTTTGCCAAAAATAAAAATTTAATATTCATTTCCTTTTCTCTAACCACCAGCAAGTAAATGTTTCACTCTGGGGTCCATTGTAGCATGACTTAACTATTACTGCGGTGTGGGAAAGTGCTTACTTCTACTCGCATGTAGGGATCTGCGTGCTAGCTGCAACTCATTTAAATTCTGTGTGGAAGCAAACCCATTTTAAGAGTTTACCACTACCTGAAGAGCTGGAGTGAATAAGTTAGTGTCTAATACTGAGTGCCTCTGTGATTAAAAAATTGCATTCAAATAAATTCTGATTATATTTCAATTTCAATGAATTTCTTAGCCCTATTTTATCCTGTTCGTCTTTGCTTTGCTAAATGTTTATGCTGTTTTCAACCTTATATGCAAAAAGAGATAAAATAGTGGTTCTTGAAATGACAAAAATGAACTTATATGAAATATTTTTCTTAACAATAACTAGACTATTTTTAAAAGATTATACAGCATGGCATTAGCAGCTCTAAACAAATTTGTCTAGCTCTGCCGAGAGCAAAACCAACTTTTGGACTGTGAAGTTCGCAGACACAGAAAATAATTCACAAAATATATCAGCCTTTACGTAATCAGCCTAAGTAGTGTATGAGTTTCAACACACGCAGTGATATGAGATTACAGTATTTAATTAATTAAATACATTTATTTGGACAATCTGTTATTTAACTATATGCACCTAAATAATTAACATTATTCCAAACTGTTTATTCTTTTTCTTCACACCAAAATGTGGAGTTCAGATTAGTAGCACAGATCAGCAGCTATCAAAATACATTACTGGAAAAAATAAATCATCTGCATAACAGAAACATTTCCCAACCATCCAGGTTTGTGTTTTTATTTGAGACGGGAAAAAAAATAATAGAGGAATTCCCCTCTTGCAAACAGGTATTAGAGGGGAAGTGGTACTCTTATTCTGGACATGGTGCAACAGTACAGAAAACATTTAAGAAATTCCAGTTACAATAAGCTCAAACCATTAAAATACTACCACAAAAACTTCTAATTATTTTTACATTGTCATTTTATTCCATGACACTGGTACTGCAACCACAAACTGTTTCTTTCAGCACAAAGTTTTCTGCAACATAGTAAGCAGATGATCAGATGATGTTGGAAAAACTACTGCTGTTGTTGTCATTTCTAGACCACAATGCGAAATAATTATTTGCAAGACATGGAGAGAAAGTCCTAAGGAATGATCTACTGTTGAAATAAATGAGATGCTGTATGTTTTGATAAACAGTGATCTTCAAAAAATCCTTGTCATATTACCACTACACACAAATGTATATAATACAAATGTATTTTACTCAGGTTATATGAGACAGACATATGCAAAGTAAATTCATGTATTCATTTAATTGGGAAGTGGGAGAAAATTGTAGTTTTTCAGCAGATTTTGCCGTACTTTTGTGATCAAATATTTTAATACTACCTTAAGATCCAGTTAAGCCATTTACAATCAGAAGATCCCTAACGAGGATCAATAGTGTGTAATTTATTCCCACTTTAAATCCAGCTGACATGAAGGTTTGTTAGAAAGCATAATGGCAAAAAGAGCATAAATGCTGCAGACATGTTAGAAATAATCTTAAGATGTTTTAAAACAGACAATAGCAATAAGATTTAAAGAGTTCAATTAATGATAAAAAATGAACAGATCATGACTTACCTGCTACCAAGAAATAACCGTCCACCAGCTATTATATCCATAGCAGGAAGCTGCAGAGACAGCTGATTTATTCAAGTTTAATAGTCTTTAATAGTATTTAATCAATTAAAACCATGCACTATTGTTCGCTGTCTTTATTCTATTGGTCTTTCACAAGACATCCCAGTAAAATACAGCAAGTTTGCATTTTTAACATGAAAAATAGAAGAGAGTGTAGCAGCTTCTGGGTAAACTGAATAACTATTTTGTTTTCGAGACAAATATTCAGTTATCTTCCTTATCCCAACCATAATCACACATTCGTTGCACCCCAATGGGAGATCATAGGTCTGGCGGCCATTATGCTGGTGAAATCAAACAGAACCAAACTCAGTGCTGTAGAGGAAGAAAAAAACAAAAAACCGTCAAAGTGAAACTTGTTTCTGATTACATCAAATCAATCAGGTTGTTGCAGGTATAAGAAGCTGCAAACCAAGTGTAATTTTTCAGAAAGGTTAGGAGTTTACTGCAGCTTTTAGAGGTTAAATCTGCTCATACAGTCATACAAAAAAAAATAAATAAATAGCAGAATTAAAGCTTAGACATAAATTAACTGAAAGACTCACATTTTGACACGGCTTCACGCCTTTACCTCAGCCAAGCATTTAATCATTAAGGATTCAGTCTCTGCACTGAGACTTCCAGAACCAAAGAGACTCTTGCTCTTTCACTCCACCAAGCTCACAACAGGCAAAGATGTCTCTAGGTTAGATCTACCTGCACACGCAGATCTACTGCATTCAGCGCCAATGTCTTCTAGGGTCTGGGATTCAAAAAGTTTTATATTTTTTATTTTATTTTAAATTATGACACTCCTTTCTACAAAATCACAAATTAAAGCAGGGTCTCTTGTTTTAGTCAATAAACATAAAGCTTATTCTTTTTAAACAAAGAATTTCAATGATATGCAACTTTTCTCTTCAGTATGGCTGATATGAAAATAATATTGAAATAACAGATTTATTAGCAGTTTTTATGTCTCATTCTCGAGCTCTACTCTTTTCTGGAAGCTGCTGTTTATAACATAAATTCATCCTGTATGTTTTGTGTTTTTTTGCAGAGTGACCTCTCTTCTAGGTTACAGGCCGGAGGAGTTGCTGGGCCGGTCCATCTACGATCTCTGTCATACTCTGGACACAAACTGCCTGAATAAAAACCACTTGAACTGTAAGAGCTAACACACACAAACACCCAAACCCAGCCTTTGTTTCCATGACTTTCGGGGACATTTCATTGACATACATTCAAATCATATGGTCTAAACAAGACCCTTACCCTAACCCTAATTATTACCAACATATACCTAACCCTAACCCCAACTCAAAGAAGAAAACTTTATCATTTGGGGACCCATTTGGTCCCCAAAGTGGTCCCCATTTGGACCACTTTGGACCTGTAGGTCCTCACAATGCGGGATATCTGACTATACACTACCCCCAGTTGTAGCTCAAACAAACTCATACACACAAACACCCAACCTTTCACATGTGTTTATTTCACCTGTTCCTGCAGTGTGTCTGAAGAGTCAATCCGTCAGCGGTCAGTACAGGATGCTGGTTAGAAGCGGCGGTTACGTCTGGGTGGAGACTCACAGCGCCGTCATTCCCGGCGTCCAGACGTCCAGGTCCAGACCCAACCCCAGTCAGCCGCTCTGCATCCTCAGCGTCACCTATGTCCTCAGGTGTGTGTGTGGAACATAAAACTGATTCTACTGACGCTGTAATTCAAAATCCAATGCAAATAGCATCTATATTACACTCGGTGAGATATATTTCAAGCATTTATAACCATAGAAAGTATTTCCAATCAGAAATATATTAGATTAGGACCTAAACAATCACAAGGAAGAGTGTTGTCCAGCAGCTTACTTTCCGAAACAAGATGGCTGTTTACAAAAAGCTGGTTTTTGTTAGCTCTGGTATTTCCTAACTTCATCTTCTTCCTTAGAATCTCTTGTGGTTTAGTTCAGGGGAGTTCGCTGGCAGTGAGACGGGAAAATAAAAGCAGGCATCGGTGTTTCTAGTAGTGTGGGCAGGTGTCAACTTGGCTGGAAATAATAAAATCAGTGCCTCTAAAGTGCTTGACAGCACAAGGAAGCATTATTCATACAGCGCTGACACCCGTTAACGCACTTCCACTATAGCTTTAGTGTACGTTTTTCTTCATATGAAAGGAAGACCAGCTGTTGGTGGTGCGCTGTGTTTTTCCCTTTTACTCAACTTTCCATTAACTTTCTGCTTTACTCTGTAAGGATCCATAAGCATTGTGGTTTATATTCAATCGCGTTCTTCATAATTTTAAAAATCAAATCTATTTCTATGTTTAAGATGTAATTTTTGATCTTTATAAAAAGTACTGAGAATCACTTTTATTTGAAATCCAACCTTGGCCTCTATTAATGTCCGCCCTTTGTGTGTCCCAGTGGAGTGGAGGAGCCGTCGCTGCAGCTCTCTTTGGACCAGACCTTCCAGAGATATTTGAGATGAAATCAGAGGTCAAAGAAATATTTTGCACGCCTTTTTGAATGCTCTTGTATTATTTCCCCCAATAAATTTTTATTTTATCTTTTGAAAAGATTTGTGCTTTTGTTCTTCTGCTTCTCACAAAATTATGATGCAAAGTTCTGACAAGTGGTAGGCTACCTCCAGAAATTGCCTGTAATGTAAAGTTCAGCGATGGTTCAGGCAGATATCCCTTCAACTTCTCACTTTTGTCATGTTGTTTCATAATCGTTGCCGCAGCGCAACTTCTGTCTTCCTAAGAGAAAACTGGAAGATACTCTGTGCAGACTGTGGTTGTTAGGCAGTTGATGGGGCGGAGTCAGCAGATGAAACGTGTTGATAAAAACAGGCTGTTTGACTTCTCCTTGACCTCCCTGGGTCTGACCATGCTTCCTATGGGGTTGGCTTCTGGGCCACCTGACACGTGGGGTGCATACAGACACATACGCACTCCGCTGATGAGAAGATGTGAGTAGATGCAAGTCAAAGCCGCAGCTTCCTGAATAGAGACAGCCGACAGGAAAGTTCTCGTGGGAACTTTGTAAACTTTTTACCTCTCGACCTCTGAGGTCACGCTCGTGCACACACTGAGTTTCAGTGTAACCGGCTGCAATGGTGTAAAGTGAAATGCAAAACAGTAGAAAATAGCTTCCTGATTAAATATATGAAGGAAGTTATCAGTATTTAAAGTTAAGTGGTCTCTACTGATATAAACCGGATTGTGCCTTATTGAAACTTCATAACAGCTCCTCAGCAAACAGGTGAGCCGATTAGCAGGTGAGAAGGTATTTTTAGATCAAGGTAAAATTTATTAAACAAGAATTTCTCAATTGGGTTAAAGAGTGTTCTAAATGTTTCTGTGACTTTATTTTTATAGATTGAATTTATAAGTATAAAATATGTTTGTGATCTGAAGGAATCCTTTACGTTAATCTGGGGATGACTTAACTGTGTAGCTTATGAACTTCAAAATACAATAGTATGCAAGTAAATAAGTAAAAATGTATTTATATAGCACATTTTGGCCGAAAAAGTGCTTTACATCATAAAAGCATCAGAACAAATGTGCAGCAAATCATTAAATACGTCGATCACGTTCAGCAAAACCTCAAAACACCAGAATCATCGCATAATATGAAAATCTTTCAGCAGATACATGTGATAATCATAGGGAGATGGTCAGTGTGTATGAAGAGAATTTTTTTAGAGCAGCTTTTCATCTGTATTTGTCTTCAGACTACTAATGAAAGGCAGCTCTAAACAGGTGGGTCTTCAGTCTTGATTTAAAAGAATATTTTTTTTTGTTTTTTTAGCAGTTTTTGTCTGAGTTTGCTCAAGATTAACGGCGAATAAAAACAGAAAGCTGCTTTTCCACGTTTGACGCAAAGTAGACTGGACCCAAAAGACCTGAGTGTTCTTGGAAGTCTATAATATATTGTGGCACTAAACATTTGAGCCATTTAAAAACTAACAGAAGTATTTTAAAGGCTATTATCTGAGTAAAGACTTTAAATCCAGGGTGATGTGCTCTATTTTTCCAGTCCTAGTGAGAACATGAGCAGCAGAAGTTTTGGGTTAGGTGCAGCTCATTTTTTTGGCAGATGTGAAGATTCTGTTGCAGTAATCAATGTGACTAAATGTTGCATGAGTTTCTCTAGATCTTGTTGTGACATTAGTTCTGTAATTCTGGAAATCTTAAGGCGGTAGAAAGACGACTTTATTACTGTTTTATGTGTCTTCAAAGGTTCAGTTCTAAATTGATTAGTACATACAGATTTCAGGCGTGTTCTAAGGTTTCTAAATGTAGCATATCAGTATATCAATTTTGCAAAATAACTATTAAGGACTCTTTTACTCTGACTGTAACTTTAAGCTGTGTTACAAGCTTTCTGCTACGTCATCCCTCATGTAGCAGATGTTTTGCAGCTATTTCTGGTCAGCTTGAATCAGCTGCACCGTAAATGTCAGTCAGTTGCAAAGAGTGTAACCATAGACTCTGCATATCAAATACCAGAAATGTGTTTAAAGTCATATAACTGTTATTAGATTACATTTATATTGCAATATAGATATATTGATGTAGAATTACTTTCCAGTCCAATTATTAAAGGTTTATAATTGAGCTGTTTTGTAAAGATGAAAGGGAAAATAGTTCAATCTCTAGATGTGAGACATAGCCTAGGAGACTTGAAGCTATAAATATAGCAAATAAAATGGCTCAGCAGGTGAACATAAATACACACCACACTTTTAAGATTATTTTACTCCCTAAGATTCACAATTATCCACAAGTTTGTGTTGTTCTGTCAGATAAAAGGACAGCAAAATACATTGAAGTATGTGTGCATAACGTAACATAAAAATGCCGGCTATGTGAATATATATATATATTTTTTTTTTTTGTAAGCCAATATAACAGAAATAGCTCTAAAAACCACAATGTTTGTTTGGTGTTGGTCGTTATACTATGATCAGAGGTGTCCAAAGTATTATTAATGTTTATTACTTAATTAGAAATACAAGTCCTATTTATAATCACTTTTGCAGTTAGAAGAAGTGTCAAATTAAGCTTTTAACTAAAATAAAAGCAAAAAAGTACTTTTTTAAAACTGATTAAAGTATAAAAGTAAAAGTAATGCAGGAAAAAAGTTAAGGACAGATGATGTACAGATGCTGGTTACTGTGCTACCCTATTGAAGGAACATTTTTATACAATTCTTTATAGTTAATTTTCTTAGTTTTATAACAGCATCAAATTTAACTTTGCATCATCTTGGAAAACTATTTATCTTGGTATGTGGTAAACAAGAAGTTGGTGCAGCACCGAGTCCAACTACAAAGAAATTAATTGTCATAATAAAACAAATTATTTTGATGGATTTTATTGTTTTTAACGCCATCAGGCCATAACGAAAATGAGCTTAAATGAAACAGAACTAATGAGTTAATTTTTAAAATGTAAGGAGTATAAAGTAGAGATAATTGTAAAAAAAAAAAAAAAAAAAAAAAGTAAGGAGTAGAAGTAAAATGTTGTCAAAAAATAATTAATCCAGTTAAGTATAGATAGTCGAAATTTCTACTTAAGTAAGGTAACAAAGTATTTGTACTTTGTTACTTGACACCTCTATGATACAAGAAAAATAGAACCAGGCTCCCACTGGAGGGCGCTAGAGAGCTTAGTGAGGGATGTGAACCATCCATCCATTTTCCATCAGGCTTATTCAGCTGGGGTCCTGAGGGGTGCTGGTGCCTATCTCCAGCTGTCAATGGGCGAAAGGCGGGTTTCCCCCTGGACAGATCGCCAGTCCATCGCAGGGCAACACAGAGGTTCATTTCCCTGGGGGCGGCCCAGTGTTCCAGTGGGTAGCACTGCTGCCAGGACAAACAATCATTCAGTCACACACTCACACCTAAGGAATATTTAGAGAAGCCAATTAACCTAACAGTCATGTTTTTGGACTTTGAGAGGGAACTGAAGTACCCGGAGAGAACCCATGCATGCACAGAGAGAACATGCAAACTCAATGCAGAAAGACCCCAGGCTTGGAATCGAACCCCGAAACCTTCTTGCTGCAAGGCAAAATTAATAACATGCAAACATTTATATTGCATCAGATATCTTGGTACAATCTTAATTGGTTTTCCAAAGAGCTTCCTCTTAAGGGGTGTTTAGGAAATAGAACAAACAATATCTTTCAGTAAGCCAGATTAGCGCATTAATGATTAACATTATATTTCCTGCATTGATACTCAATTTGCGATGAGAGTAACAGGATAATACAGCCTCATAATTCAGTAATGTATTGAAACTACATTACAGAGTTATAGAAACATCATATTGAGAGAAACCAGGGATGGTGAATTGTTTGAGGGCATCTATACAAATCGTACTGATATATACATATATATATATATATATATATATATATATATATATATATATATATATATATATATATATATATATATATATATATATATATATATATATATATATATATATATTATATATATATATATATATATATTATATATATATGTGTGTGTGTGTGTGTGTGTGTGTGTGTGTGTGTGTGTGTGTCCATGTACATAAATACCCATGTAATCCCCTGTGCAATAACCCTGTATAATAATTATTCTACAAAAAAAGCTGTCATATGTGGACGCACTGTATATATTGTATTTATCCCATGCACCTTTTACTTCCTTTTGCACATTCTTCTCTTTTTGACTATTTGAGCTGATGTAACGAGTACATTTCTCCACTATGAGATAAAGTTAATCAATCAATATTTATCTATATATGTAGATATGTCTATATATACATACATATATTTATATATACACACACTTTGCTAGAGTTTGGAAAATATTTCCAGTATCACACTGTTAACTTGTTAGTGGACATCTCACTCCACCTAGTGGTTAGATGGAAGAATTTAAAAAAGCCTCCCGTTAAAGACTCAGTATTGTGAAGGCTTCATAAAACATTTATTATAATCTACAGATGAATTCAAATAGGTGAATGCTGGAAAGTCTACATGTAGGGCTATTAGTGTGTTTATCTGATTAACATTGTCTGGCTGCTACTGTACATAAAGTAAAGGGTTACTTTTTCTTTTTATTCTTTCTCCAGGCCTGTGTCCTCCCCTCCAGAGGAGGGCATTCAATTCAAGAGTTCTGAGTTTGATCGTTCTGACATTATTGTATTTCATTTTCTTGGTTTTTCTTTCCTGGGACATGTCTGTTATCCTAGAGATTCAATGTTCTGAAGAATCAAAAGAGAGATTTCTGTCCTCATGAGAAAGACCGTAAGAAACAAAGTAAATCCTCTTTCTTTTTATTTATTTAATCTAAATAATGATATTCAGCTCAGTGCTTTGTACAGATAACACTCAGACAGAAGAATTTGAAGCGATTAAAATCTCTAAACTTTTCCACCTTGGACTGATACTTCAAAATGAACTGCAAAGTTGAATTTTATCAGGGAGAAGTGTGCTGCAGTCTGCTTGGGTCACATCCGTAACACATTTTTTTTTATTTCCACA